CTCATCGCAAAACCAGCTCGCAGCGAGCTTGCGAGTGCTTGCGGGTAACCGCTAGCAGCGAGCTTGCGAACACTCGCAGCGAAGTTAAATGATTTGAACAATATTTTGCAAAAGCGTAAATTAGTCACGCGAGATGATGAAGTGCGGAAATTGACCTGTGAGCTGTTTTTGCGATGAGTTTAAAAGAGCCTTTAGAGGTCATTTTGACTGCTTAACAGGATTTATTTGGCATTAATACATCTCCAAATTCATTATTCTTTTCGTCGAATCCTCTATTCCGTAAAAAAGCAGTTTTAAAAGAACGTAAACATACAGCAGCTTTGGCTTTTTTAATAAAATTCTTGATTTTTTCTCAAAACATAGTGTATTTATGGCTAATTTGGGTAAAAATTGGCAGTCATTAATATTCTATTTTGTGGCTATCAATCGGAGAAAAATGTGAGCCAAAACCTATACTCGCCAGGGAACAGGTACCTCAGCGAGTAATTATGTTCTCTTTAAAACAAGAGAGAAACAATATTAATTTGACATTTTTCCACTAATCTTAAAACCGTCCTGCAAGCCGACATGCGCGGCGTATACGAATCGCTTAATGGCGCACGTCCCAGTACATTGGTACAAGGGAGGGCGGTAACGTGGCCTGTATGCGGGGTAATAGCTAGTGCATTAAGGAAAATGGCTATTGAAAATACGAAAAAATACGAATACCCGAACGCATCCTCGATACGAAACACCGAAAACCTTTGCTAATTTCTAGCGTACATGCGTCTTTGTATATATTACATGTACGACACCAGAAATACCGGAAGACTCGAAAGACCAGTGGACAATATAATCCAGTTCGCAGTCTGAATTTGGCAAAATTTTATTCCCACCACATCACTAGATCACTAAATCGCTATTCCCATCAAGCGGGTAGGGAAAGCTTTTTACCAAACTCAACAGCTCAGTGTACCTCCACAAATGTCTAAAAAAACAACTGAATACTAGCTAAATCGTTCAGGTTCACTAAAAAAAATTTAATCCGTTTTTCAATGAAGTAATCCTAGAGGATTTAAAAAAATTTTACCTTTGTTCAAAAACAATGCATTGAATTGAATCCAAACGTACTTGCAGGTTCGAAAAACCAAACGTACTTGCAGGTTCGGTGAGTCCGGGATTGGACGCACCTCCCTGCAAGTACGTTTGTTATAAAACCTTGTTGCCTATATTCCTCTACAGCTACTTTGTTAATTTGGTTCAAATAAATTTGATTGGTTTACCTGAAATTCCTATTGACCAGTCCACGTGGAGTTTTCACGCCGCCGAACGGTGGATTAAATTTGGTGTAAACCTTTATATTCTACTTTGTCCTTTGTAGTTTCTCGTGAAAAGACAATACAAACGATTGAACAACAGAAGAGAGACTGAAATGAATTTGAAAAGTTATACCGGTATTATTTTCGCCATAGCTTTTGTACCAGCTTTTGTCGTACTTATCACTTGTTGCATTCTTTGGTTTTTTAAAAGCAAAACCGAAGGGTTGATGCTCATAATTATGAAGGGTGTCGTCAGTAAAAAGAATATCGACAAAAGACCCACATACCTCGTCTGCAACAGAAAACTCCCATCATCAAGCAAATCACAATTTGTGCTTTGTTCCATTTTCATTATTGCAATATGCGTGCAGTGTTTTTTTACTCTCGCTATCGTTGACGTGACCTACGAATGTATTCACAGCCCAGGCATAGATTGTTTCAAAAAGAAAGATGATGTGTTATTATCTGACACTTTCGCTTACGATGAATCCCCCGTTAACTGTTCAACAATCTCGAGAGATGATTTCGTAATTTGCTATCGTCTGACTGTCTTTGATCCTGAGAGAGCCTTCATTGGCGCAGCAGCTGGGTACATATTGTTCAAAATGTTCAATTTTGGCCTTCTTATTGTTGCGCATTGTATGCTTTGGGTTGCACAGAAATGGGAGACGACAACCTTGTTATTCTTTAAGCTCGGCATTATCTTAAGCATTAGCATCGCAATCTGTGTTCCACTCATTTTAAGAATCTATCTGGACGATGTGGAATCAGCATTTCGAAAGATGTCATACACAGTGTTAGTTCAATTCGTGTGTCTTCTGGCTGTCGTCACCTATTTTATAGGACGTCTTCCTTGGGAAGAGTTTGGTAAAAGTGAAAAGTATTATGAAGACGCGTCTTTACCAGACAACGTTAATGCGCATGACAACGAAATGGCCTAAGACAATGGCAAAAATTGTAGCGATGCAACCAAAATAGTGATCTAGTAGTGGACTAATGCATTTTAGTATAATATAATGATTTGGTTCGAGAGTTCTTAAACTGGCCAATAAAGAGAATATAAAACCTTAAAAATATGTATGTTTACTTGTGAAATGCATTTCTGTATATTTAATCTGGCTAGATTTCCCGGGCCTGAGCAGAAAACAACAGGTGAACCAGGGTTTATTTTAAGAAAAATTTAGAACTGCACATATAGGGATGTTACGAAAGCAACAGGTGTTTGACGGGGGGGGGGGGGGGG